TCCTAATTGAAGATCCTGTTTATTTATTGGCCCGTTCAACCGACTCCGGGTATGTGTAATCTAATACGGCCGGAATAAATCCACATTTGGGTTGACAGAAGCCGGGCAATCTTGGGAGCGCCATCTACCGGCAATTCTTTACCTTCGGATGTGAGGAGAGAACGATTACACGTGATTGCCTCCGGACGGAATTGAAGGCGTTCCTTGATTATTCCTTGGAACTACTGATGTAAGGAATGTTCACTGCGAGGCGCATCGTTTAGACCACTTGGGATTGCATTGTGTTATGAGAAACGGTTTGAAGTCTTGAATTTTTTATTCTGAGGGTGGTGGGAACATAATTTCGAAGTGTACGTTCTGCCTCAATTTCTCTATAAATGCACCAAAAATGCGAAATAACAAAAATGTGTTTTCAGGTTGATACATATATGGGCAACCCACGAAGGGGGTTAACAGTGAACATCCCTGTTCCAAAATATGTTGTTGGTACTGCTGTTACTTTACCAGTAAGAGGAAATTGGACGATCTAACGCCACTTTCCCTCAATGTTGAGGTCATTCCATTTGGAACGGAGGTGAAATATCTTGGCATTGTCCTTGATAAAAAACTCACCTGGAACGCTCACTTGGAAAAAGTTTTACACAAAGCCAGACTGTCCCTATGGACATGTCGAAGGACTTGTGGTAAAACTTGCTGTTCAGGTCCCAAACAAATCCATTAGATTTATGTGATGATTGTTCAATGATTACTTATGATGCAATTGCCTGATGGCCAAAGGCTTTACAGAAAACGGCCCAGGCGAAGCTCTCCGACTTACGGAGACAGGATTGTCTAGCCATCAGTGGTACCATCAGTACCACACCGTCAGCGGCCATTGAGATCCTTCTAGATCTACCTCTTATCTATATTTTTCTGAAGAGAGGCGCTAGATGACTGCATATAGACTTGTGCCACATTGCCAACTGCACAAATCAATTTAATGCAGAGTGCAACAGACTGTTGATTGGCACTGAAACTCACAACATTCTGGAAATGACCTCTGACTTTATGCCTCCAACTGTCAACTACGAACTGCCTTATAAAGTACTGTTCCCGAGTAGAGAGTACTGCATACTCCGGGAGAAGGAAAAATTGAGAGCAGATAGTTGTTGCTTCACAGATGAATCAAAAACACCTTCCGGTTCCGGTGTTTTCAGTCGCAGACCCAGAACAGACCCAACTTGCCTAGGAACGTATGCGACTGTATTTCAAGCGGAAATTTACGCTATTGAATTGTGTGCGGGGAGATTGGAAGAATCCAACCTTATACAAAAGTCAATAAAAATATTCTCGGACAGTCAAGTGGCGTTGAAGTTCTTGGCTCCTATCAAGCAACGTCTGAATTGGTAGCAAATTGCCAAAAACGACACTCCTCGATAAGAAGACTCAACAGACTGTCTCTGGTCTGGATTCCTGGCCATACTGGCTTGAAAGGCAATGAGACTGCTGACTCCCTTGCCAAGGAGGGTGCTGCAAGCAGCTTCATCGGACCAGAACCTGTCATTGACATCGCTATAGGCTTTGTCAAATGAAGATTGAACACCTACATGGACTTCCGGCAGAATCTTCCAGGATTGGCTCACTCCAAGGCGTTTATTCACCCTTCGAAGATTGATACCAAACAGTTGTTAGACTACAGTAGGTATGAACTACGAAGATTCCAAGTCGAAGACGTTGCACAAGTGCCTGATGGTTTTATTTCAACTCTCTGTGCGGCATTAGCTGGGTTAATTGTTTTTTTCCGTTGGGTATCAGCCACACGTACCTACAAAGACGTAGGTCTGCATCAGAAGAAAGGGACAACCTTAAGCATTTCATAATGCGCCTCTCCGGAATAATAATGATTATTCCGACTCCCAACCCGGAGTATGCTTGTGAAGTTGTTTCCTGGCTCTGGCTGTAGTTGGCGCAGTGGACATCCCACTGAATCAATTGCAGAGAGATTCTATGATTAGCTGTAATTATATTTGTTTAGTCGTGATAGTAAGACGGTTCACACCGTTCTGAAAAGACAATTCCCGGTACTGATGATGGGGCAATCACCTCGAAACCGGTCTATCGGTTGGTCAGATCGACCAAACGGAATTGATTTCTGCTTTTCATAGTGGGAAATAACTTGCAACGAATCTTCCAAGTCGAAGATGTTGCACAGGTGCATGATGGTTTTACTTCAACTCTCTTTGTGACATTAGCTGGGTTAGTTGTTGTTTTTTTCTGTTGGGTATCTGCCACACGTACCTACAAAGTCGTAGGTCTACATGAGAGGAAAGGGGCAACCTTTAGCATGTAATAATGCACCTCTCAGGAAGAAGATGAGTACTCAGAAGATAAGTACTCTTTGATCATTCCCATATTGATTTCAATTTAAGAGCCACCGGTAGACAGCTGTTTCAGCCTATTGAGGATCGTCAGTACCGGGCAGGCGGTCCTCGATTGAAGACAAAATGAGAAAAAACCAAGAAAGTACTTGA